GGTATCCCTCGGTGCTGCAGAGCTCAAATGGGCTTTGAAGTCAGAGACACTGAGGATCAAATCCTGGTTCCTGATTTTCACTCACTGTGTGACCCTTGGCCAGTTACTTCTAGTCTCTAAGCCTATTTCCCCCCTAGTAGAGTGGAGTTTAGAGTACCTACCTCATGGAATAATCAGAAGAATTAAATGAGTGAACTGCGTGAAGCACTTAGCACAATGCCCAGCGGTACCCAGTCAGCATGCAGTAATAAATCCTAATTACTATGTTCCAGGGACTCACACTTTCACCCAGCTATGATCATTGGCTTCCCTAAGGGCTGATATCTCGTTTCATAAGCCTTAGTGACAAAACTCTACCCATCTTCAACTTGGCAGGAGGGGCGGGGGGCAAAGAGGAAGGGGAAACCATTTCCTATCACTTTCCATAAGTTGATTGAGGGCATTTTCTATTCACTACCGTTTATACCTACACACAAATGTGTATAGCTGTAACTCAGATACCGTATTTTTCGGACCATAAGACGCTCCGGACCATAAGACGCACCAGTTTTTAGAGAAGGGAAATGAAGAAAAAAAGATTCTGAAACAAATAGTGTCCTAAAATATTTTATGTGCATTAAAACCCAACATCACAGTCATAAACACATGTAATCAACCCTGTAAAGTAAACAGCAGCATTTAGAACCATTTTAGAGCCGGGCAAGCACACAGAGACCACACAGAGCTGGGCAAGTAAAAAAACTTTTTTTTTAAAGTATATGTGTAGGCTATATTTGGACCATAAGACGCAGGGACTTTTTCCCCCCACTTCTGGGGGGAAAAAAGTGTGTCTTATGGTCCGAAAAATACGGTATGTTACCTGGGAAAGAGAAGAGAACTTACCACGTTTCTCTTGTTGTAAAGTTCTCTCTGAACAAGTAGAGAATTCTGAGAATTTCCTCAAAGAAATTCACATTGTGTGCTGCTTATTTAATGCCCATATATGTGCCACTACCTTTACTTCATGCTGGAAGGGAGACTAAATCCAATAGTGGAGAGACAGAGCTTTGGGAAGAGGAGTGTGGGAGAAGCTGGGCAGGCTGCCTCAGAGGGTCAAGTGCAATGAAGCAAACAAAATAGGACAAGCCTTTCCCAGGAGGTCTCAAATTTAGACAGAAAAGCGCCACTGAATATGAAAAATCCAAAAGTTAAGTTATTAAGTGATTCAAGTTTAGTCCTGTTTTCTATGCTTTTTCAAACACCGTGTTCCCAAAGGCATTTAAATACCCCTTCAAACTTGTTTTAGGTGTAGGGGAAAAAAAAATGACATAACTGCAGTGATGTCTATGCCCAGACCCAATTTTAAAATAACCCTACGCCTGTCCATTCATCATTACTGCCGGGGAAGCACCTGATCTTTTTTTTTTTTTTTTTCAATTAGGCAAAACAAATCCAGTTTATTTTGTCTGATTAAGTTTATGAAACACTGATAGAAATTTCTCCATAGTTAGTCTTGACATATCAGATACTATTACTCCAGATAGTGGTTGTTTTTTTTTAAGCAATTTGTTTAAGTGACATGCAGGATTTCTATACAGCTCTCTCTTCCCAAGCCATCCATCCAGAGAATTGAGGAAAAAGAAGCATAAGCTACATGAGGCACAGCCAGGGCATTTCTGTGAAAAGGGCACACGAAGGAAGCACAGTGCTCCCCAGCTGGTGATAGCCCCTGGAGAAAGACCTCACCTCTTTCAAGAAGAAGAGCCAAAAGAAAACCTCAGTTGCAGGAACAAAAACACTACCAATAACTATTTAACATTTAGTTAAGTGCTTACTGTATATTGATTAGGCTTCGAAGGCTTCTAAACCTCGAAGGCTTCTTTTCACAATGCCCAATGATCATCTGATTTATTACTTCAGTACCTGGAGCACATGTGTCAAACACAAGGCCCGCGGGCCAAATCCGTCCCGCCAGGCCTTGCAATGTGGCCCACACCGCGCTGTCATCACTGCACTCCGCTGCGTTTCCATCACAATGACAGTTTATGACTGTTCAGTAAACCATTCGGCCCGCGATTTAGGCTGGATTTTAGATTTTGGCCCCTTCTCTGATTGAGTTCGACACCCCTAACCTGGAGAGTCCCTTCATCAACACAGGTGGGTGGAGATGAGGTACTGAGGACACCGTGAAACACCTGTTTACACAGCTGCTTTAACAGGGTATATGATTACATGTACTTCAGCCTGAAGTACCTGATCTTTGAAAGTGATTCGAAAAGTAGTGACTTTAGGGTGGATGATGCCTCGAAGACTCAGATAGTACAAACTTCAAGGGAGCAAGCTCTTTTCCTACTGGGGTCACAAATTCTTTTTTTAGGAGAGGTTACTTCTTAGAAATTTTTCTGTAATGGGAGAAAATGGTATTTTTGTGACATTCACATAAAAATGAGAAGCAGCCAAAACTGGTTTGGCTTAATGGATAGACCATCGGCTTGGGGACTGAAAGGTCCCCGGTTTGATTCCGGTCAAGGGCATGTACATTGGTTGCGGGCACATCCCCAGTAGGGGGTGTGCAGGAGGCAGCTGGTCGATGAATCTCTCTCATTGATGTTTCTAGCTCTCTATCCCTCTCCCTTCCTCTCTGTAGAAATCAATAAAATATATTTTAAAAAAATAAAAATAAATAAATAAATAAAATAGCAAACCATGCTATTTAAAAAGAAAAAAAATGAGAACCAAAACATTGTAATGTAGGAAGAAAACAAGGGATACGCAGATACTTCCCAAAGATGAGCCTGACAAAATTGCTTTATACAGTGGCCAATGACAAACTGGATCTTAAAAATGTGAAAATTTTATGTATAAAATGCAATTCAAGTGACTTTTCCTATGTCTATAGTAACCACAAATTTAGCCCTAAGTCAAAACCCAGGGGCTCAGTTTGGAGACCTACTATTCAAGTGAGTGTATCTGTAAAAAAATCACTTTAATCTGGACTCCTTTTCTTTCTGGGTAGCTCAGTCCCTTTGATGGGCCTCTTCCTACCTTAAGAGAATAAGAAATGTGAGTAAGGCCCTGGCCAGGTAGCTCAGTTAGTTGGAGAATTGTCCCAAAGCACCAAGGTTGTGGGTTGGATCACTGGTCAGGGCACATACAAAAATCAAGCAGTGAATGCATAAATGAGTGCAACAACAAATTGATGTTTTTGTCTGTCTGTCTGTCTGTCTGTCTCTAAAATCAAATGTGTGTGAGCTGTGTCACCACTGAACCAAACTCCAATGGCCTCTCAACCCCCAACTCCCAGGTGCTATCCTGGCCCATCTCACCAGCACCCACTCAGCATCAAAGTCTTCCTCTCCACCTTTGGTGAAGCACAAAGCACGGATCAAGGAGAGAAGAGCAAGCCAATGGGGAGCCATTCCAACTGCTCCCCCAAAGGCTAGGAACAATAGCAATGTCTGGCAGTGGGAGGAGCAGCTCCTCAAGAAGGAGGGGGAGGGCACCTCCAGGCCCCTTGTGCTAAGGGAGGAGGATCACAATAGAGAATGGGTGGGGATTCTGCATCCAGCCCAGTGACCAGACCCAGGGAGGGGAGGCTGTGATGCTGCCTTTGGAGCAGAACCCTGGGCCTGCAGGGCTGAAGAACAGAGCTGGGTTCCAGCTAGGAAGGGAGAAAAGGAGGGTGATGCATTGTGACCGTTCTACCTCTGTCTGTGAAGAGGGGGAGGGGAGAGGAAGAAAAACAAAGTGATCTCAAATCCAAGATTCTATTAGATATGCTGGATTTTCCAATCAAAAGTAAAGGTTTCCAAAGCGGGAGCAGCTCCAGCATACAGAAGTGGGGAGGGCTGGGGCTCTACCTCCACGGGGCAGTGGAATCAGACAGTACCAGGCTCAAATTCATAAGCACGCCAGGACTCTCCGAGGCGCCGCTGCGGGGTGGGAGCCAAGACTCCTTCCCCTCCTCCACCTGTGGGACTGAAGGTTCCCCAGGCGCAGCCATTCCCCCCACCCAATCTCCCAGGGCAGATGCTTTTCCTTCCTTCATTACCTCACTGCCTCCTTCCCTTGACGTCAGCCCCGGGTCCAGGAGCGGAGGGGAGGGAGGATGGAGATGAGTTTAGGGGCCAGTCGGTATCAGGATCCCCGGAGCACCAGGGTGAGGGGTAGGGGTGGTATGTGAGGTAATGCGCGGCCAATCCCCGGGCTCCCAGGGCCGGGAGCCGCCAGTTCACTCCCCCCACCCCACCTCCCCGCCTGGTGCAGGCTGGTGTGTGTGCACCAGTTACTAAGCAACCCTATCGGAGACGCGGGATGCTGGCCAAGTTCACCCAAAGTTGAAGAATAAATTTGGGGGAGAGTAGGTGGAGGGTGGAGCGAGAACAGAAAGAAGGCACAGGAGACAGGAAAAAAGCTTCCAAGGGAAAGAAGCTGTCTTCCGCCTCCTGGGAACAGGAAGTAGGGCGGGCTCAGGACTCCGCTGCTACCGACTACAGTCCCCAACACAGGCTGGAAGGACCATCCCGCCCCAGCGTAGCCCCTAGCTATGAACAACACCCACTAAGTGCAGCCGGCTCCAGGACCAGGGTGGGAAAAGCTGTAGCCCAGGGTATGCCCAGGGTATGTGCCGGCAAAGTTGTCCCAGAGAAATCTGGCGGGTGGGTGGCCGGAAGGGGATCTGAGGAGGGAGAAGAACCACTTGGCAATTGACTTCGGGTTTACTCTTTGGTCCTGAGGATGCTAAAGTCTTCCCGAGCAACGAGCCCCTAACAAAACAGCTTTTCGAAGTGCCTCTCTTTCTTTTCCAGTTCTAAACAGCAGCCACGCTCATTTCTATTCAGAATAAGAGCAGGGAAATGAGGAAACCTACTTCTATCCGAGCCTGGAGACCTGCTTTCATTTGCTTTAAGTAACTGGGTAACTGAAGGAGTCATTGCCTCCCGAAGTCCTACCACCCCGCATCTGACAGTTCAGTGCCCTCGGGCTCCTGAGAAGCCAGACGGCGCCCAGCGCCTTCCTACCTGCTGTAGGGCGTCCTCAGCAGCAGGGCCTGGCTGCCGGTGCAGCTGTCGGTGGGCGTGTGGCAGCCGTAGACTGGGGGCGGCACTGAGTACTGCTGCTCGCCTGCAGAGAGCGGGAAAGCAGGGTGAGCGCCCAAAGGTCTCCAGGGTGCGGGGTGGCGGGCAGGGGCTGGGGAAGAGAGCATCCTGAGCAGGGGCTCCCCAGCTAGATGGGCAGAGATGGAGTGTACAGGCGCAATGAGTCAAGCTTCCCACTTTACACTCTCTTCATTAAAAGCCGCTGCCTGGTACACAGCAAAGACTCTGGGGACATTTAAGAATGGTTGATGGCAACGAAACCGGTTTGGCTCAGTGGATAGAGCATCGGCCTGGGGACTGAAAGGTCCCAGGTTCTATTCCAGTCAAGGACATGTACCTTGGTAGCGGGCACATCCGTGGTGTGGGGATGTGCAAGAGACAGCTGATCAATGTCTCTCTCGTTGATGTTTCTAACTCTCTCTCTCTCTTCCTCTCTGTAAAAAAAATCAATAAAAAAATGGTTGACTTAGTTGAGTGGGGTCCCTAACATACTTGGGTGGGTCGTAATCGGTCTTTTAAATTGAGTGAGATCAGGCTAATTATTTCTCAAAATCCCTTCAGATGTCCTCTTCTCCCTTCCTAACGTGCTGTGGGTTGGGTACTCATTGTGGAGGGGAGGGAGAAGGACCTGGTAGGTCCGATGGGGTCTCCTGGAAGAAGGGGAGAAGGACCCCACGCCATCCCCGCCTGCTTACCCAGAGAGCCCTGCTGGCCCATGGGGTCCTCGTGCTTGAAGGAGTGGTTGGGGAACTGCGCGGCGTGGTGGGAGGGCGTGTGACCGTAGTTGGGCGTCCCATCGAAGGTGACTGTGCTATATCCTGCGGGAGCAACAGAGAGAAGCACAGCATGAAAAGGGAGCAGATGCGGCCGATGGGTCCTAACCAGAACCACTGTGTAGGAGCGCCTGCCATGCCTTGGAAACCCACCCGTCCCTAGGACTTTGGGTGGGAAGATGGGCCCAGTGCCCCAGGGGACTTCGGACCTCTCTCTGCCCTATCCCAAGTAGAATTCGGATTTCCCCACCGTTTCCCAATTTATGTATGCCCCTGCCTTCCACCATGACTGCTGCTTCTGGACCCAACCTCCCGCAAGGAAGTGTGAAAGAAAGTTGCTCTCTCCCCAAAACCTGACATCGCTCTCTCTCCTGGGGGCAGCTCGGGCTGAGAGAAATGAATCTGCTCGGCTGACCCCACGCTGACTCCCAGCCGTAAATCAGGGGCCTCACCAACTTTCATTAATTACTCAGAGCACGTTAACGGCATGGGCTCTAAATGGGGAGAGTAATTACCGAGTAATGGTATCTGTCTGAGGCAGAGCGACCTGACACCGTGACACCTAAGGCCCTGGGGAAAGCTGGAGAGGAGAAAAAGAAGGGGCCCTTCCCGTTAGGCCCGAAGGCCTTGACCCTGCCTTGTCCTCCCTCCCTTCTGCACGGACCCTCCTCTACTCTGGTGGGTCCAAATCTGACCACCACTGTGGGGACCAACGTCCCCATGCCCCGGGCCAGAGACCCTGTTTCCTTTAGTGTCCCTGACACACCGTGCACGCGTACTCTGCCTCAGTTTCCCTGCAGAGAAATTGAAGGTAACATCGCCCTTATTCTTTCCCAGCTCTCCAAAGGTAAGAATTAAAATAACTGTGGTGTTTCAGTTGAAAAATATAGCCGCCCTTTATGATTGTTATTTAACTGCTTTAAACATATGTCCCAATGGCTTCTGGAAAAAAACGGTGGCCACCTCTAGGGGAAAAGTATCTATGGCTTGCCGAAACCGGTTTGGCTCAATGGATAGAGTGTCGGCTTGGGCACTGAAGGGGGTTCGATTCTGGTCAAGGGCATGTACCTTGGTTGAGTGCATATCCCCAGTAGGGGGTGTGCAAGAGGCAGCTGATCAATGACTCTTTCTCATCGATGTTTCTAGCTCTCTATCTCTCTCCCTTCCTCTCTGTACAAAATCAATAAAATATATATATTTTTTACAAAATATCTATGGCTAAGAAAAGGATGAGTCCATAGGACCCTTAGGACCTTGAACCCAAAGGTATTCCTATGTCAGGAATCTCTGGCCTGAGGTCAAGACCAAGTGAAGAATGAGATCGGCCCAGACACTCATATCTGCTCCCTGTGGGACCACCACTGGTTCAGTCCCTCCAACCCCACCCACTGCACTGGGTCAGATGGTCCCCATTGCCCCACTCTTGTCCCAGGCATGATCCCTCTGCAATGTGTCCCAGAAGGCAAGCCGTTACCTGGGACATAACAGCATTACGAAAGGAGGCCTTTACCCCCATTTTTGAAACACACACCAGCCCCGCACAGGGAAACCGAGCTTCCAGGGGCCCACTCGGGGAATGTGGTGTGTCAGAGTGGGAAAAAGGATTGGGCCAGGTCTTAATTACCGGACTGTACAGATCAGACCAAGTCTCATGCACAGTTGGCGCCAAGGGTCTACAATTTAGGAAGTCACGGTATTCTGTCATTTGCATGACCCCAGAGGCCTTCATTTCTCACCTGCTAAGTGGACAAAGATAGCCCCCGTCCCCTTAGGCATGGGTGAGCTCGCTAGGGCTTGGAGGGTACTTCCTTTTGGGAGCGGAGGCCAGGCTCCGTTAGAGGCCTACCAATCAGCTTGCAAACGAAATTTGGCTCTGGGCAGCGAAGTTTGCAGAGGAAGGTCCGAATTTTGAACGAAAAAAAAATTTTTTTAATAAAGGAGGAACCGAAGCGACAAAGAAATTGCCCTTCTCCATTCCTGAGCCTGAGTAAGCGGTGGATTCAGGCACCGTGCTGTCCTCCGCAGCGGGCTCCTCGATGTGGATTAGCCGAAAGGGCCACGGGTTGCGGGCCCACCGCGTCGCCTCCACACCGGGCGAGGCTTCTCGGGGCCTCTCCAACACAAGACACGCACAGGCTGGTGGGCAGGAGCCGGCCTTCAACCCCCTTCCTTTAATCCTCCCCCTCCCCCCCCTCCACAAGGGCAGCGGTGAAAGCAGGAGCCGAAGGGAGGGAGGGCTCTTTTAATTAGAAGCTTATCAGACGGGGACTGATTAGAGCGCTCTGTCCCGAAGCCTCACGCCGGATCTGGCGCGGGGAGCGCGGGGGCGGGGGCGGGGGCCAGGGGAGGGACCGCTGCCTGCAGAAAGGGGCAGCGTGTTCAAAGGCTCCTTGTTCTATTTTTAAGGCCCTTAGAGGAAGACACTCCAGATTCCAAGGTAGCCCCTTTCCCACGATTAGTCTTCGCCCCGAAGAGAGTGCAACCTTGACCTCGCCAAAAGGCAAGACTGCTCTGCGCCCTTCTTCTCCGCCCCAGGCTGCGAAGGAGTAGGGTGATTACCTGGTCCGGCCAGCGCCCCTCCTCCCCATCCTCGGAGCTGAGGGGCGAAGTGGGCAGCAGGCAGTCAGAAGGCCGATATTGATGAAGCTGCTGCAGGATGCGGGGAAATCTGTCCCACAACAGATACCCTTTTTCCAATGCTACCCAAGGAGGGTGCCCTTGTCCCTTGGGCCAAACTGGTCTCCCCAGTGACCCCTAGAATGGCTGGCAATGCCAAGGCTTCCTCTTGTGCTGTAGTTTGGCTTGGGGAATAAGCCCAACTGACAAAAAAAAAGTTCTCCTCCCCTCCCCAAACCCCACTTAATCTGGGGATACCCAAGTCCTTACCCCACTTCTGCCCTGGCAAAACCCTCAAAACCTCATGCACGGACTACAGTGGGTTCCATGCCCATCCAGCAGGACAGAGGAAATCCATGTCAACAGTGGGCCAAGATCCCTGGGAAAGTAGGTAGAAACAGCCCAGAATGGTCTGGATTTGAGTCCCGGCTCTGCCACAAACTGAGACCTCTTGCACAACTCATTCCTTAGTGTCTGCCATGACAAAGTAAAGGCTTGGGCTAAAATCGACCCACAACTAATCTCTTACAACCCAAATTTCCTTATCCAGAAATAAGGCCTCCGCCAATGTCAGGCTGTCAGGTTCTGGCAAAAGTTGAGGCGAACAATCTTAATATTCAATTTCCAGTGCCTGGCCTTGGCATGGAGTAGGTGCTCAGTAAATGTTAGCTGAACTAATTCATGTTCAGAAGTAAGGTTAGGACATCAGGTATAAATGTTTTTAAAGAAATAGGAAAAGTATATTTTAAAAAAATAGATAAAAAAAAAACGGTTGGAGAGGAGGTGAGAGGGTGCCAGCAATTGCCCTCTCTTGAGGACCATGGTTAGGCTGCCCTATTTGGGGACAGGGATCCAGGTCTTTAAGCTTTTCCGCTGGAGTTTGGCCTGGGCCTGCTCATGGCCATTCCTACACTTTGGGGAAGGAGTTGATGCCCTTGCTTCCCTCAGCCCAAACCTCCCACTAGACCCTATATATTTCTGGAAGAGACACAGAAACCCCGGAAGTCAAGAGAATAAATCGGAATCCCCAGGTCTCAGAACCCATCCAGGGCCAACATCAGGGCTGAAGCTGGAACAGCTTCTGACATCTCACCCCAGCTCCCAGCTCCCAAATGAGTCCCAAGAGGTCAGCCAGTGACCCATTTATGTGTTCACTGTAAGAGAAAAACCTAAGCCTAAGGACAAAACTGAGCTTACAGGCTGTGGTCCCGGTCTGGGGCCAACTCTCCATGGGGCTTTTCCTCAGGGTGGGGAGGGGGGACCTCCTTCACCTTCTAGTCAGTGGTTTGTTCCCAAACCTTTTTCTTTTAGCAGCCGACCTATGTACTAGGTTTGTGCCCACTGGTTAGGAAGCCCACTGTTGGCCTCTCCATCCCATGCTGAGTTGATGGGGTCCTGGGCAACAGAACCGCCCTGCAGAAGGCTGGACACGGGCCCAAACAAATCAACAGAGCTCAGATCCCAAAAACCCTCACAGTACCTAGATGGTCTCAATGATAATGGTGCAACAGTATTTTGCTCTTGGGAGTCTTAAATCAGTGGATTCTCAGGCCACTCCACATAGCACACATCTACACAGGAACTCAACTCACATCACACACCTGCCTGCCAGTCTTGCCAAGAACGGACCCGTCAGGTTTTTGGTGGGCTGCTGCTCTACCTTCTGTGTTTAGAACCCCTAGCAGAGGTGAAGTCAGGCTTCTGCACAGATCACCAGGCCAGACCCAATTTCCCAGGTTGTCCATCTCAATTCCTCTCTTACAGATGGGGAAACAGAGACCTGTGGCTTTGCCACAGGTAACACCAGCGTGCTAATTGGGGTGGCATGGTCAGAGAATAGGAGTCTCTAAGAGGGACACTGAGCTAGTCCAACACCCTTTTAATCCAAAACACTAATTTCATTTCTGAAATAGCTGGAATGGAGGACCCTCCCCAAGGATCAAAGATCACAGACTCCCCTGACTCAGAGAGGACAGTTTCACTTTCGCCAGGGCTCCTTGTCATCAGGTGCTCCCCGCTGGGCTACTGAAGAGACCATCTAGAGATAAGGACAGAGCCTTCCTCCCGCCTTAGCAGCCCAGAACCTCCTGCAAACAGCACACACTCTGCTTCTATCGCCCCAGGCACTCCAGAAACATCTCAGCCTCTCAATTCAGCGAGAAATTTTGCTCCAGGAAAAGCGTTAACCATTGCATTCGTAAAGTATGTCCTAAGATATCGAATCCACCCGAATTGGTTTAGGTTCTCAAACAGTGCAAAAATAACAAACAATTAAAATAAATTTAGAAACCAAACTACAAGGGCCCAAGCCCTGTTGATTCAGGGCTGGTCAGGGAGAAAGACGTGTGCGCGGGAGCCTGTGCGGGGCTAGAAAACTACCGTCTGTGCCCCTCAATGTACAATGACTGAAAACATCGAAAAAACCTGTCCTTGTTATAACCCTCACGTCTTGCAAAAATCTTCCCTGGGTAAGACCCGCGTTCATTGAGGAGGAGGCTTAGCCAGGGAAGCTCGGGCTTCATTTCACTGCCTCTGGTCGGACCTGGTTCCGCACAGCTCAAAATCAGACAAGCGGGGTTCTTCTCTTCTAGCCCTGGAGCCCGCAGGGCTGCCACCTGAGCTGGAACCAAGGAGAGATCCGCTTCCATACTAGCTAGCATACTTGGGAGCCATAGGCAGACAGTGACAAAGTTCCAGGAAAGCCACTTACTAGTTGCTAATCCTTTCAGTTACTCATTCTCGCTCCAGGATACCTATGGTGCCTCTAAAGTGCCAACTCCGAGTTAAGGACCAAAGCAATTCCTGGACATTTTGGTGCGAAGGAGGCAAGCACCGGATGCTCATCCTGTGCTGGTCCCACTCTGAATCCAGTCTAAATATCTGAAAAGCCCAATGCCGGGTGACAGTCTGGTGGTGCCTGGAGCGACAAAACCTCCTCCAAGGCACAGCCAGAGGCTGCAGCCCCTCCAAACTCCCAAAGGGACTCGCAGCCTCGGAATCTTCGGCGGTCGGAGGGGCCCCAGATGACCTCCCGGCTCATGCAAACAGCCAGCTTCCCAAGGATGTCAGGAGCCCAAACCGGCGCGAACTCCCTCCCTCTCCCGGACCTCTGCTCCCCTAGCTGCTGCTTCGCTACCCTCAGAGTCTTTGGGGAGACTGCTGGTAAGAGCTGGGGTCAGGGAAGGGGCTGGACAGAGGACTACCCACGCTCGACGACAGCCCCCTCGCCGCCGCCCCAAGAGCAGGGGGCGCTCCCCGGGCTGCTCACCCTGGTTGCGAATAGCGGGCTGGCTCTCCAGGCAGCTGGGCAGGTAGGGCGCGTTGGGGAACATCCTGGCCTGGCCGGAGGACGCCTGGCTGGGCGGCGGAGGACCGAAGGGCCCGTAGCGACAGGCGCCGGCGGTGCCGGTGAACTGGCCGGAGAAGTGGACGGTGAAGGCGCTCAGGCACTGCTCCTCGTGCGGCTCCGCACCGCCCCAGCTCGGCTCCTGTTTGATGAAGGAGTGCGGCGGCGGCGGCGGGGGCGGCGGCGGAGCCGGCGGCGGGGCCGGGCCGCCCAGCGAACCGTACGCCGAGGCGCCCGGGGGCGCGAAGTCCAGCACCGGCGCCCACTGCGCGGCGCCGCTCACGGGCAGGGCGCAGCCGCCGCCGCCCCCGAGCGAAGGCACCGCGGGCAGCAGCGCGTTCAGGTCCCGCAGGTCGGAGCCCATTGGCGGCAGCTCTGGCCCGGGCGCGCCGCGGCTCCTCCGGTCCTGCAGGCGTTCGGAGCCGGGCTCGGCCACGCCTAACTTGGCCCAGATGCTACCGGGGCCCCGGATCCCCAATGGCTCAGGCTGCTGAAGACACCCGGGTCCCGAGCGGAGCGCGTGCGAGGACGCCGGCTCCGGGACGCACGTGGAAGCCGGCTCCGGAGGCAGGAGAAAGTCCAGGATCGCGGTGAGGAGGCGGCGGGGCCCCGGCTCCTGGGCTGCAGTCTCGGCTCTGGGTGGGTGGGTGGAGAGTGAGTGAATGAGTGGGAGGGCGGGCGGAAATGGGGGAGCAGGAGACAGGCGGTCGGTCGGGTTTCGGAGAACCCCCGGGTGTGGGCGCTGCCTTGAACTCCTGATCCAAGCTGCCTGGCTGCCCCCAGCTTCCCAAAGCTCAAATAAGCGGGGCCGGCGGCTCGGGAGGAGGAGGAGGAGCCAGGAGTCTCGGCCGCTCCATTCACTCGGCAGTCCAAGCCCGTCCAGGCGTCACCCGCGCGCGCGCGTGGCTCCTCGGGGGGCACCCTCGCGATGAGGGTAGGGGCGGGCTTGTGGGAGACACCTTCCTCTCCTATCTGCCCCGTCTCTCAGAAGGCCCGTGGGACCCCCCACCCACCCTCCCCTTCTCAGCCTTGGCGAGTGTGGACGTCTCGGGGCACAGGCGAGCCCCTCCAGGTGAGCAGCGAATGTCCCCTCCGCAAATACGCGCGATGGGGGTAGGGATGGGGTTGTTCATCTAAGAGGGCGGGTTGGAGGGAGGGGCTGGGGGCTCCTCGAGGGCGGGAACTTCTGGAAAGCGGTGAGAGCTTTCCGGGACTCCAAAGAGGCGGATTCTCGGGCTCCTCTTACCAGGAGCCCGTCTCTCTCTGGGAGCCGTCGGGCTGGGGTGGTGGCCATAATCTCGGGGTCACTGGGGAGGCGAGGGGCCCCATGTGGGTTCCGGAGGTCAAGACTCAAGGGAAACGTGGATGACCTGGAGGAGGTTGCTGCAGTTGTGATAAACGGGGGTCGTAATTTCAACGTCTGGTAAATGGTGATTGGGTGAGGTTGCCGCCTACCTAAAACCGGTGTCAGCGGCATTTTAACCTCCTTTTACAGCCCGGAGCATCTAACTCTCCTATGATGAATCCGGGTAAACAATGGCTAGTTTGGGAAGGAAGAAAACTCTTTTAAGGAAACAAACGTCCGTAGTGTGCATATATTCCTGCCGGAGATTCCCAGCGCCCAGTTCGGGGGCTGGGGTGGGGAATGAGCAGGGTTGGGGTGGTTGGTTTCCGAAGCCGCTCCCGCAGAGCTCTGCTTTCCACATTTGCAATCAGGATGCGCGAATCGGTTAGGAGCCACCAGAGACCCGCGGGCCAAGGCAGTGTTCGCACATGGGGGGTCCCGAGAGTCTGGCATCGCCAAATCAGACTCCTCCCTCCACCCGGTCAATTCTTTGGGAGACCCTAACCTCAGAGCAGGTGTTTGAGGGTTTTGTTTCCAAACTGAGTCAGCTTCCACGGGGAACTGAAGCGAGGAGGCAGGGAGAAGCGCCTGGGAACCCTGGTTCGGGTGCGTTTCAGGGGCGCCCGGGAGAGCCGGGAGGCAGCGGGGAGGGCGCAGCCAGGGACAGACAGCGGCTCCGGGCAGGAAGCCGCGGGTTGCTGCCAGGCTGGTCGCTGGTCGGCGATGGGGCCCGCAGCTTGCCCCATCGAGAGGCAACAATCGAGGCAGTAGGAGTTGGAGTTTTGACGAAGAAACCGAACTTTTTAAAAGCCTGCACTTACTCTCCATTTCTGACGCTTAGGCTTCAGTTAATTTGCACGGAGTAAACGAGGTAGCCACGGGGTTCTGGCTGCGGACTCCAAGCGTGTGTGCGGGCTCAGGACTGACACGCGGGACACAGTTCCCTCCTCTTAGGGTCGCTGGTCCTCTTGGGGTCGCTGGTCCTAGAGGCGCTGAGACCTTGAGGGCAGAAGTCGGGAACACGCACCGCCGGCTTGCTCCCCATCACTATGGTGGTGGACCCCTCTCAGCCCTGCCTTAGAGTCTGACTTTGACTCTAGAGGCCAGCTTCTTCTCCCCTCGCCCCTACACACACTCTGAAGGCCCCCACTCGCCTTGCAAAAGCCCCATCTCTTGATTTTAGCCTGCCGGCCAGAAGGGACGTGTATTTGGTCTTTTTGGTGAAGAAAGACCCAGCGACACAAAAGTTCTGAGACCTAGATGCCCCTAGAAAGCCCCAGACCTCGTTTATTTCTACTTCGAAATGGTTTTTCTTAACTAGGACTCATTCAAGCGCTACCAGGGAAGGCGGACCCCGTAAGAAAAGCCAGGAATTTCGATTTCCAAACGAAAAGGTCAAACATTGTTTCTCTTTTATTCTCCTTTGCAACTTTGAGGGGATATTTTGAAGAGGATAGATTTTGTGTTTTCGAATCACAGGGTAAAAGCGCTTAACTCTGTGCCTTTATATAAAAAAAAAGGGGGGGGGGTTGCCCAAGAATGAGGTGGATTTGGGTGAGAGGAAAGGGGAGTTGAACCAATTGTGGTGCGATCTCATCCCAACCTTAGGGTGCCACCTCACCCACCTGACCAACAGTGAGGGCAAAAAGTGCTGTGTGCATCCAGGAGTCCGAATGCCTTTCCCCATCCCCATGCCCAGGAGCCCAAGCGCCTCAGGGCCAAAGCCTGGGAACCTGCAAACTACTGCGTTTGCAGAGTGCCCATGCTCTCCACTTCTCCCCGCCCCTGGGTAAGGTTCTCTGCGGGAGCTGTGGCTATGCTGTGTCCGTGCCCGCCACGCTGCCCTTGACGCCATGAGCAGGAAAGGATAAACAGTCTGGCCAGATGGACGGTCCACCTTGCGCCAGCCCAGCAGGTAGGCACTCTGAAGCTTGTTGGAGATCTGGGGAAATAAGGGCTGCGGAGACTTGGTCGTTCCCTTCTCTCACCAACCTTCCCACCCCTGTCAGCGAGGAGATCCGTGCGCAGAGGATCTTGTTTGCACCACCCATTGGCACAGATGTAAATTCAACTCCTTCCGCAGAGAAGGAAACTGAGGCCCAGACAGGAGGAGGAAAGGCAGCTGTAGAGAGCAATGGTTAAGAGCAAGGGATAGGTAGCCAGACAATAGAATATCAGCTCTTTCAGGTAACCTACAGCTGTGTAACCCTAGACGATTTTCGTAGCCTCTCTGAGCCTCAGTTTCCTAATTGGTCAAAGGAGATAATGCTATGCTAGCGCCTAACCTCATGGGTCACGAGGAGTAGACAGGAAGATAGTGTTGGCCTTGTACACATGAACATTACAATTTTTGTAACTGTTGTTCAAGGACAAGTAGCAAGTTAGAGGCTAAGCAGAGCTGAAACCCAGGTCTCCCGGATGTCCGCAGAGGGAGCTTTAACCCCCACCATCCCCTCTGTCTCTCCTGAGTTAATGGTATGGAGTGTGTATATATTGATATATATATTTTAAAGAAGGCATTTTTTTTTGGGGGGGGTGCCTGAAAGGTGCTTAATTATTGCAAGATCAAAAAAATTGTTTCTGAATGGGAGGGGGCGGTGAGGACCCATAAGCCCTCCACTTTGACCCTGTCGCTGTCAACTGCGGCAGACCCAGCCCTGAGCCAGCCCAGCAACCGCGGTCCCAGGGACCAGGGAGCACTCTAGGGCTGCGCTCTGGGCGTCGCCCCGCTCGCCCCGCTCTAGGCTGCGGACAACTGAATAAACACCACTAAGCGCTGCGATCTGTCAAGGGCTCCGATCGCCTGCTTTATTGGCGCAGGGGCCAGCGCCCAGAGTTCCAGGCTCAGCATCAGCAGCCTGACCGCAAGTCCTCTCTGCCCCCGCCGCCAACTTCAGTTCAGGAATCTGCCTACCCGGCCCGATGGGCAGGCATTTAGGCTGTTTTCCAACCCCAAGCTGGCGGTAGAAATCACACTAATTTAAAGTGAAAACAATAATAAGTAAGGGAGGGTTTTTTTCCATTATAGTCCACCCGCAGCTCCCCACCCTGCTCCTTGTTCATTTGAAAAGTAACTCTTATTTCCTTTTTTAAAATCAGTTTCCCCACCAACATTTAAAATTCAATTCTCTGACCCAGTTGGTTTGAGAGCTCTGGGCTTGCACGCACTGCTGGGTGTGCAGTGCAAAATCCCCCCTCACCCCACCTCGCAATGTACCCGTCTGTTCCGAGAGATGGTCCCCGAGAGTCCCCAGTGAAAAGAGTCAGCAGCGCTGCCTCTATTCTTATACCGTAAATCTTTTTAAATTCTGGAACTAATTATATAGAGGATATGTCTCAATTTGTTCTGCATTAATGCCACAGTGGGGATGGAGGCCGGGCCGTGGCCAGAGCAGATACTTAGGCCCATGAAATTGATGAACTGAGAGTTGCTTCCAGTCCTGAGCGCACCATCTGGAATTCCAGTCTGAGGTTACAATTAGAACTCCTGACCCCAGATTCAACTTTGCAAACAACAGGGGGAAAAATAGGAAAAAGAAAAGAAAAGAAAAAAACGAGAGAGAAAAAAAATACAAATTGCCCAGCTTATTCTGCACCTGTAAAAAAAAAAAACACAAAAAAACCCATACAATCTTAAAATCTTTCCATCTTAGAAAACTCTGTCCAACTACTTTTGTGTGTGTGTTTTTAACCTATAAAAGATAATGGAACATATTTTATAGGCTGGATTTTATCTTATCCCCTTTCCCTCTCCCAACTGCACTCTAATAGTTGTCAGTTTCTCCTCGGTGTTGGATTTAATTGCATAGGGCTGAAATATTCCTCAGGAAATTAGTTTGCTGAATATTGTCACTTTTGCTATTCTGCCTTTGAGAAACAACTCAGTTATAGAACTCTATGTGGATCTAGGACCTTCTTTGACTGTTGCTTCATAATCTGAGATTTTATTTGTGTTGCAATTTTATTTGTGTTTTAAATTGGTTGGACCAATTTTTTTCTTCTTTCTTTAGTAACACATTGCTTTTATTTTCCTCTCACTTTGACCCCCTGAAGAAAACGAAGGACCCAGCAGTACCAGGGAATCTGTTAAATTTATTAGCATAAATGCTTAGACAAAACGAGATATAAATCATTTGGATGTATTAAGCCATAAAGTATCCCAATGAAGTCAGTCCCTCTGCAGGTCCTAGTATATAAAGGTTCATATAAAACGAGATATCAGTATTATCTTTCAAACCGAATATATGTTGTGAAAATATCCAAATGTTGAGTTAGGAATACGGGGGCAGTAGTGGGGCAGGAAGATGAGAGTCTTTAAAGCAGCCTGTTAGAATTGTCTTGCTTAAAAAAGATGATAGAAAGGGAAAACTCGGCAGTCTGCATTTTTAACCTAGTATTCAGTAGACAACTTAAAAAAAAAAAAAGACATACAGGATATATTTGATGGGAAGCAAAGGAATAAGGAAAAAAAGAGATGAATTGAGAGCAAATGGCACTGCTTTCTGTAGAATGCATTTTTTTTTCCAAAGGTCAATTTAGCTTTAAAAAAATCTACTCGGAAAAGGCACTGACTCTCCACGCAGATAACGGATGAGCCATTAGTGAAGAGCCACCTGGGCCTGCGTCTGCAAACCCGGATATGCAGCTGGCCTGCAGAAGGATGTGTATTCACTAGGGGTGGGTGGGGGAGAAGAGGGGTGGGGGAGAGAGGAAGGAGAGTTGCCAGAATT